TTTCTCGAAGCGGTGCGTTTGTCTCTATATGGCCAGCGCTAGACTTCATACCGCGGGCAAAGAGTAAACAAGGAACAGAGACGGCTTTCGCATCACAATATGATATTTTAGTTGTCTTAGTTGCAAAGCTCTTAGGTTACTTGGTAGCTTATTGAATAGTTTTATTACTCAATGATTTAGTGGTTGCTGAATTTGTGATACGGTATGCAATAAAGTCCTGTCTGCCTATTGTTGTAATTATGTGGATATGAATAGATAAATTAGTATTTTCCTTAATAAACATACAATTTAAGATAAATATAATATAATATCAAATTCGATCAGCCTTTGATGAATTACCCCATGTTTAAATCCCGTAACTTATTAGACTATAGAAGTTTGAAAAATAAAAGATTAGTGCTGAATCAATCGTCGTAATTACCATTTATTTTCTTATTTGAAAAACAACCTTGTTAAATTTATTTGCTAAATAATCTATGTTTTTTTTCCATTTTAACGAAGAATCGATAAATATTCCCAAACTGAACAATTGTATATTCTGTTTTAGAAAAAAAAGTAATTTCAGTGTGTTTACGTTTAGTGTTTGGGTATGTTGAATTGATTTTGCGGAGTTAACTATAGGGTAGTATTATCTGCATATAGACAGATATTATTAGCTACATCAAAAAAATTGAAGGATCGAACCTTGTTTACCGTTTGGTTGACTGACTAATTGATATTCATTTTATAATATAATTAATGTTTAAAACAGTTCAATGTATCACCTCTTATCCCATAAAATTGTAGTTTAGTTTATCTAAGAAAATTGAGTAAGCCTTACTGTCTATAAAAGTAGCTGAATATTTTAATTATCATTTTCTTAAAGAAAAAAAAAATTATAAATCTATACGTCAAATTAAATGTATTAAATATATAAAAAAGTGTTTTACAATTAATGATTCGTTTTAAGAATGTAGTACAATAGCTATTATTGTAAAAATTCAAAAATAACTCTCAATAAGAACAAATAATTCTAACTAACCATATCACTCGGCATTTAAAAAATCCAATAAATGCAATAATGTTCGTATGCACCAAACAGAATTCGCTCCCCTCATTCAAAGTTTCTGCAATTTCTTTGGAAACTAGCGAAATGAGAAGGGAGATTCTGAAAATGAGGGAAACCGAATGATTCATACTTCTTTATTATATTTATTTCGTACTTAAGCATAACTATTCTGTCAGCGCTATACGCCAAGAATTGGGTAGGTATTAAAATGGTAGAGGATAATTTGACAACTGTGCCCTCTATCTAATTTTTTGTATGCTAAATTAATCTTAATCTTAGGTAGTTACGCATTTTTTTAACGTTTTAGAAATTAGAAAAATGACTATTGCAGGTATTAAATAAATTCTTATTTTTTGCTAAAATTAGTTGAAATTTGAAGGATTTTGAATTGAATTATGATGAAGAAAGTAGTAATTAACCGTTACATACATTACACCAAAAGATCTTTTATTATTGGTGTGGGAAAAAAACATGTTTAAATTTTGATTTAATAAAACATATCTTCAATTTTTAAAAATGAATTCATCATTTTTCTTTTATTATTTCATCATATTTACAGCCAAAAATAAGTGAAGTTCTTGTATATTTCCCTATACTCATCTTGAATGGTTTTTGAGAAAAAAGGGAATATTTAAATATCTTTTTATCATTAATGTAATATTTTCTATGAAGTAGGCATCTTAAAAGTAATATAAAAAGTAAAAAATTCGTCAAGAATTAATAGTCGTAATTTTAATGTTTTCCAATATTTTAACTTAAATATGGCATATGAGTTCTCTATCTAAATTTAATAATAATGTTGTGCGAGCCATTTTCGACCAGTCTAGTCTAATTCCTTAAGTTCCACTCTGCCTAATTTATGCCACTTTTCTCGTTACCAATAATATTTAATGAAACAAGTCGAAGTCCTACATTGTTCTGTAAGACGAGAAGTTCTTAAAGACATCAATTTTGGTGGATACACCAGTCTATAAAATTGTGGATCCGTCAATTTATATTCTAAACGGTGCCGCCAATTCTTTCGAAAGATGTCTTAGTCCGGGACTTTACATAGCGTTTTACCGGGAGCCGTTTGGCGGGACAGGTACAACACATTGGTTTAAATGCGGCAGAACAGCAGGTGTATAAACGGCGCCATTTAAAACAAAGTATTGTACCTGTCCCGCCAAACGGATCCCGCTAAAACGCTCCCGGTAAAACGCTCCCGGTAAAACACTATGTATAGTCCCGGACTTAGAATTGCCAAATTTGTATATACCATTTGCTGAAGCCTGTTCAGATACCATCGTCCGAAGATGTGAAAAATGTTTAGAAGAGAATGGAAAACAATTTGAACAATTTTTATAACTTTTGTGTTAATGATTTTAATTTCTTCACGTTCCCACATATATTGTAAGGCGCCAACTTGATAGAAAATATTACATTTATCACAAAAAAGTTATTTTAATATTCGCTTGTTCTCAAAAACAATTTAAGATGAGTACAGGGTGACGCACCGAAAAGAAACAGAGACATTTACTGGCAGCTCAGTTCTTTTTTGGAAAAACGCTTGGAACCGTCGATATTGTCGAAATTGGCAAAAAATCACGTTAACACGTGCAGCCCCCTAGGCGAGGGTGGCACCATACCTAAAATCTTAAATGGAAAGGGGGTCGAATGATTTATCATTTGAAAGGTCTTTCAATTCCCTTTATAATGATGTAAAATGCATGTACTTCTCAGTAGTTTTGGAGATTTATTGATTTAAAGCTTAAAATATTTGTAATACATCATCATTAGTGGAGATCAATACATTTATCAGCAATGTAGTTTAAAAATGAAGAATGAACTGACCCATCAGCCAAGTAAATGTTGGAAATGACCACCATGACTCTCCATGCAGTAATAAATATTTTGCTGAAAATGTTGCCGCACATTTTGCAATATTTGAGGAGTAATTTGAAGGCACTCATTCACAATTCTTTGTCGCAAATCTTCTAACGATGTTGGCTGAGTAGCATAGATTTTGCTTTTTAAGTGACCCCACAGAAAGAAATCCAAAGGTGATAAATCTGGCGATCTTGGAGACCATTCAATGGCACCTCTTCTACCAATCCATCGACTTGGAAACGTCTGATCTAAATATTGTCGAACACGTAATGCGTAATGTGGTGGGGCACCATCCTGTTGGAACATCAACCTATTCGCAATGTACCGCCGATCATTCTGATTTTCAATTATGGCTGTTAGTGCAGGATCTATGGCATCTTGCAGTAATTCCAAATACATTTCACCGGTCAAATTTCCAGGTAAAAAAAGGACCAACTAAATGATGGTCAAAAATACCATCCCAAACATTTAATTTTTGTGGCTGCTATGTGTGTACCTCATGATAAATTCTGGGATTAGAATCGGACCAATATCGGCAGTTATGACGATTTCCTACGCCATTTAAGAAAAGGAACATTCGTTTATAATTCGTTCACTCATATCTTCACAAAATTGTAATCGCCGATCAAAATCGTCTTCATTAAGTTCTTTATACGAATAAAACTATGGGCCTTTAGAATTCGTTGGATACTACGTCGACTAACACCATACACAGTATGCAATTTGCGGGTACTTAACGTAGGATCTACATGAACTTGCCCTAAAACCCCCACTTCTATTGCTTCGTTCCTTATGGGATTTTTAATGTTGCGTTTTTATTGACGACTGAATTTAGGTTCAAGTTCTAGAACATATTTTCGATGCACGTTACTGTTCTCATGTCGTTCTTTAAATATTTGTGCTGTTCTATTAGCGCACTGATTATTTCCGAAAAATATTTCGATAATTTCAACCCTTTCTGTCATGCCATGTATAAAACGTTAAAAGGTATTTTAACAACAAAGTTTGGTCGAATCAATTGTAAACTATATACTAAATTCCTATTTAAAATAAGTACAAGGCATTACCTTCTTATCTTTCTTCAAGAAACAACTTTTTTTGCCACAAAAAACGCTTCAATCGCTATTTTCAACACCAAAACGATAAACAAACCATGGGCGTAGTGAAGAAAAGCATTTACTTATTAAGTAAATGCTTTTACTCAAATTTATTCTGAAAGTAGTACGAACTAATCTGATGTACCTATTAAAGTCTACTTTAAGCTTTAAATCAATAAATCTCCAAAAAACTACTGAACTGAAGTACATGAATTTTACATCATTATAAAGGGAATTGCAAGACCTTTCAAATGATGAATCATTCGACCCTGTATAGTTATTTCTGGCTGCAGAATATGCTGAAATAATAAAAAAATTATGAATTAATTTAAAAAATTGTATTTACTGACGTTTTGTTAAATCAGAATTTAATCATGTTTTTTCTCACCACGTACAATAAAAAATCTTTTAATGTCATGTAATAGTTAATTAATTAATTTTTCATCATAATTCAATTAAAAAACTGTCAACATTTTTACTAACTTTAGCCAAAAATAAATATTTTGTTAATACCCCACATTGCTCACTTTTTTTAAAGTAATTTCATAAATTACAAATTTTAGATTTACACTTTATTACACAAATTTTATGTTCTACCAAAATCCCGAATAAAAAATAGGGGTAGCCTATTTAAAATAAAACAGTTGACATCTACTTCAGGTAAAAGTGGAAATGACAGAATTCTTAAAATATTTTAGACGAAACAATCATAACCAATAATTATTAACAAACTTCGTCCATTGGTTTGTCAGATATAGATATGACCCCCCCGTCGCTGGATATCTTTTTCATTGTATACTTTTCCTTAAAAAAATATACCTATAACCGCAAGAATTGAATGCAGAACTGAATACACCTGAAAAACAAATTCCCCATATAGTACCTACCTAGAGAAGTTAAGAGCCTAACTTGATGGCATCTGTTGAATCTCTGTCTCAAATTTGATAACGAATATTTCACTTCTAATAATTGATTATCATTTTCAGGGACCTATACGATTGTTGCATGAAGCCTACAAGGAAGCACGATGACATCTGTCACATTGCCGTCAAGCTCAGGTACGTTGAATGGAGGATATTCATCATCAGTGGCAGAAAAAATTCCGAACACCAAATCAGACTTTGAAGCTCTACGCACAATTAAACGTTCACTAAGTATAACATCATCTGAATCATGTAAGAAACGTAGAAAACAATCGACCCCAATAAGAATATCCACCAGCGAAACAGACAATTCTGTTGCCAATTCAAACGAAGGTAAACCCGTCGTGCCTTCTCCCGAACCAAATATCCGCTGTTCAGTCTGTCAACATTCCTTTTCGAATTCTGAACAGCTACAAAATCATATTTTGTGTGAACATCCTCCATTAGAGTGCAAGAAAGAACCCGAAGAACACTGCACAACACCTTCGCCATATTTAGAAGGGTCAGAAACGCCAATGGGACTGTCCATGATGCGCTCTGATATGCCATGGGTCAACGAAATGCAGAACAAAGAATGGATGGGTTCGAACCTAGCAAGCCTTCCTTTTAATCCAACAAATCCGATGTTTATGGCATTACCTCAATTCTCGCACACCGAAAATATTTCTTTAAAACCGATAAGGATCTTCAATCCTGACGCTTACTGTGATCTTTGCAACAAGGAGTTCTGCAACAAATATTTCCTAAAGACACACAAAGCTAACAAACACGGCATTTACACAGATAGTTCATCATCTGAACCTTTGCAAACATCTATGAGTGTCCCAACACTTACAACCACTATGAAACTAACGAATACCGTGCCAACTATAGAACAACCTACGAATACAAACGAAGCAAAAACCCCAGTTAACTTGATCAATGCGTTCAACAACATTTTCCAGAATCCCTTTTCGAATCCAGCTAGTTTACCAGAGTGCGAAATGAACGAGAATGTTGCAATGTCGAACGGAGTGTCATCCTCTAGTGGAAGTGATAAGATGTTTTCAGATGATCCGCACGCCGAAGATAATACTAGTCCCTGTAATATACAAACCGAATCTACCTCAATAAAAAATGATCCAGATGGATCGTTCCAAGACGCATCGAGCAAAATGTCGTCAGATCAAACTAATCGTGAATTAGATTTATCATATCGTTTAAGAAAAATTGGTGTCATGAATCCTAAGGCGTTTTGTGAGATTTGTTGCAAGGAATATTGCAATAAATACTTTTTGAGGACTCACAAATTGAAAAGACACGGGATATACATTCCCGATGACAAAGAAAAGGATATTAGCATGTCAGGTTTCTCGCCACATACTAGCGTACAAACCAGCCCACTAAATCTTATAATGACTGAACAGAACAGCTGCGATAGCAAAATGATTTCGCCTACTAGTATCGGTTGTGATATTTGTTGCATAAAATTCCAGAACGCTAGTCTTGCTCATTTACACAACGTTAGCGTCCATGGAAGGGTATGTTCAAGAGATTCTGACGAATCTGAACAAACAGACTTGAATAAAGTTCCAGAAGGGCCCAAAAATGAAAAACCTTTAAACCCAGAAGCCATCAGCGAAGATTTACAAAAGCTACAAACTATGATTCTTCAATTAAACGACATCAATACAACTAAAGTATCAACGAACTGTACTATTTGCAACAAAGATTTCGAAAACAGGTTTTATTTTCAAGCGCATATGATGTCGGAGCATAGTTTGCTGGTGGATGCAGAATTAGAGAAACCACCGATAGAACCGGAGTCATCATCGAATAATAACACAATGTGTGACGTATGTGGAAAAGAACTATCAAATGTCGAAGAATTATCGAGGCATGTTGTGGAATTTCATTCCAATAATATTACAGTAAATAATAGTATTACAGAAGGAAATAAAGATGAGAACAGCGATTACAACAGTGTGGAAAAAATATCCAGAACGTCAATTTCCAGCACCGGACATATCCCCGAACGGCGAGTTTCAATGAACATTACACCCACAAGCAGCTACTGCGAGATATGCAACAAAGAATTATGTAACAAATATTTCATGAAAACCCATATGCAAAGAATGCACGGAATAGAAATCGAAAATGGAGCACAGATCGGAGGTGTGGTATGCGATATTTGTAACAAAGAACTGTGTAGCAAATATTTCCTACGCGTCCACAAGCACAACACCCACGGTATAATCGAATATGGGAGCAACCTGTTACCTAGCAGGAAATCAGAAGGGGAATCTTTCGTCTTACCATCTAGTTCTGCCCCATTAGAAGTAGCAGATCCAGCCCTAAAGCCGGGAGATTTAGCAGATTTAAGTCACCGATATTTCAGTCATTTCACTGAAGTTTGTACGATATGTAGTCGACGATTTAGAAGTACGAAATGGTTGAAAGCTCATTTAGTGACGGATCACGGGCAAGCGGGAGCTGAGAAATGGGCTGAAATCGAACAACAACTACAACAAAATCGTATAAATCCCAAACCATCTACACCCGCTAGTATAGAAGGTAGTCCAAACTTGAAAATACCCAATGGGGGACATGAAGCACAACAGAAAGTCGGAGTCCAAAATTTTATATCTAGTTTATTTGGAATAGATGAAGGTAATACAAAAATGTATCAGTGCTCCTATTGTCCGTTTACGTCACCTTTATTACCACTATTATTTGTTCATGAGAGGTCACATTCGATGAATATTGAAGGGTTTTCATTAAAATGTCCCATATGTCCTCAAAATTTCGTGGAAAGGCAACAATTGCAACATCATATATTATCACAACATTCCTTTCTTTTACCAAACACAATTAAAGAAGAAGATGTTGGCTCGAAAGAAACTTGTAAAGAGAGTTCCGAGGAAGAGGATCTTACGAAGCAAGAGTATGGTACGTGTTCATCTAGTCAGGAAAAAAGCCAGAGCCAGAATCAGAAACAATCATCTTCCCCAGTCAAAGTAAAGCAAATCGAGTTGTCGTCTGAGATAGAAGAGTCGTTAAAGGATGTAGCCAAGAGGATGCAATGGCCGGCGACGTATGCAATTCCTCAAAGCCAGAATCAGAATCAGATTCCATCGGAGCAGGACCAAGACGAAGCGAGTTTACCATCAGGGCCAGGGTATGTAATGCAGGCATTTCTATTGGAAGAATCAACCTCTGAGCGCCGGGTTATGCCCTCGGTTGTTTTCTTACCCATGCTACAGAAGCAACCATCTCCTATCACTGTTACTTTTACACTTACCCCGGCCTAACACATCCTCACATGTAGTTTGCATATATGTGTTATATTTTTTTAAGAAACAATCGATGGCGATTCCACGACACCTGTGATTTTTTTAATTTTAGTTATAATTATTGTATAATCCTAATATATAGATATATAAGCGATTCCTATATTTGCAAGTTACCTCATATATTATGAGAAGGAACATATGAGCACATATTTTTATGCAAATACGGAAAGACTGAGTGAAATTTTTATATAGTCTGTTAATTTTCACTTTAATATATCGAGATACTGATGTTTTGTACGATAAAGCTTTAGGTGATGTTTAAAGAAGTTCCTATTTTATATCTCGATATAATAATATAATTCACAAGTATGTACGTATTATTCAGTTGTTAGATGTAGCTTGCTCAACAGTCAGTTAAAATGTTCCGAGTACCTAGTCCAAGTAACTCAGGGTTAGCTGAAAACAGTACAATCAGCCTACGCGTCTACGGAATGAGTGACGCTTTCCTTTACGAGTTCCTGACTAGTAGCATAGGATAACAAATATATCATTAAATTCATTTTCACTTGGCCAGATGGTCCCTGCCAACATTAACACCAACACTAACCCCCATTGTAAACATCAACAATTCATCTCAATCAAAAACAATTAAAACATTACTAATTCTATCAAACTACTACCTTTTTATATCGATTTCTATAAAAAATACTAGGTTATTTGGCTATTTGAGCTTTCTGGTTGCATTTTATAAATAATTAGCTATATTTGGGTCAAAATATTGTGGAAAATCGTAAGAAGTCATTTTCACAGTTCTATAAAAATGTTTAAAATTACTGAATTATTTAGATTAGTTGCTAATAGCTTTTTAAAGTAATTAAATGTTAATTGCGAGTGACATTGCTAAGAAGTTCTGTTTGAAAAAAACACAGGGAGGATACTGTATATTAAACTACACTCATGAGCAAAAATATTGCACCATTTTAATATTCGGTTTTTATACGGGGTGCGATTAGAAAAAAAAACCGATTAGTGTGATTCCTTTCAGTGCTTATATGACCTTGGGAATAAAAGATAGTCACATGAGGCGAGATCCGGTAGTTAGGGTGGATGTTCTAATACAGTGAACTTAATACTTGGCCAAAAACCTCTTGACAGACAGTAAAACGTTCTCCTGATGAAGAAACCATTATTTTGTTTTGTTAAAATCTGTCTAACACTTTCTTTTTCGATTCCTTCAGATTCAGTAACAGTCCAAATACTTAACCGATGGTTTTTTCGGATCATCACACCGATATTTTCAAAGTTTGTGTCTATTTTTGAGGTGCAAGACCGTTCTGAATGCGAATCGTTTTCGATAACGTCTCTTCTTTCGTTGATCATTCAAAAACTTCTCATCTCCATAATATTCTTCTTTAAATAAAACAGAACATACGTTCTTGTGGCAGATTTTCCGAACTACACTCCTCAAACATCCAGTAAGCAGAAACTTTTAGTAATCTTTCATTCATGCACAATAGTGACGTTTAAATCATTTGAGAGATGTATGATAAGGATAAAATTATTTAATATAGTTTCAACTTTCTTATAGAGAGTTTATTGAATTTTTATAGTTGTATATGTTCAGTTAGAGGTTGTTCCGTTTTTATTTTGGGAGCTTCTTTAATACATCAAAAACTGTATTAACCATGAAATACAATTATGACATTAACAATCCAATTTGTAGGGACTTCTACAACCTTTACGATGATAGCAATAAAGGTGTCACGTGACACGCTCGTGTTCTGTTTGATCTTGGCGCCCTCGCCATTTGTATGCAGAGCTATCAGTCCTTTTTTTTTCTAGTCATACCTCGTGAATATTTGTAGTCACGTGGTCAGGGTGGCGATCTAGATTAGAAGAACGTTTGTGGTGGCGGTTGCGATAGCAGTCCAACGCTAATCTCTAATGAGTTGTTAATTCTCCATGTGTTGAGTAACGAAATAAGTTTCCTTATTATACAGCTAATCCTAAACTAAGCGCAACTATTTACAAATACAGTAATTGCAACCAGAAATTTGCTCTTATCCAGCCGATAACACTAAAAAATGCAACAAAAAAATAATTTCATTTTACTATAATATATCGAAAAAAGGGACCCATCTGCTAAGTTATTCACTTGTCCTTCCTTACACTTGCGACTTTTTCCATTAAAATGAACTTGCTGGCGAAAAGCCTCACAGAATTTGAAACATCGTCGCCTTGATTTTTCTCGGGAGATAAAAAAAAATATTTAAAATGTTTAAGAGGCGACGCACTCGGCTCATAGTCACTAATGAAAAAAATATGATTTAGGTGAACGCTAGTGGACATTCGCAATTTAATGATCTCTATAAGGGCAGAATAAATATCAGAAATTTATACTAACAGTATTGTTATTAGTTTTTTATACATGTTTTAAAGTAGATCTTAGATTATACACGGGATTATAAAGAAAGCTATTGCTTACTTTATATTTCTTGAACCATTCATTTACATTGACTCTAATAAATTGGACTTATTTCATTTTGAACTCCTGAAACTTTCAACTGATTTAAAGTTGCATGCCCAATTTAAGACTTCTTTATGATTTGTAATTATTTATTTACAAAAGTTAGTACCGTCAGAACTGAAATATTTCATGTATCTATTTGACAAAATTATTTTTGATTTTACAAAGTGTATGATTTTAGATCAAGAACGTCAAATAAGTACATACCTTTTTATAAAACATCTTGTATATTACAATAAAGTTTCATGGTGGTTCTTGCAATGAGTTTTATAAATAGAATTAATGTAAATTTTCTCACACATAGAGTGGACTATAATATACATATTTATTTTAATCCAGCTTTTCGCATAAAATGTATCTACCAATTTAATGAATTGCTGACTTCAAAGTTTCAACTTTAAAATATTCCAAGAAAATTCCACATGAAATTGGAATGTTTCCTTGATTTGCTGTTAAAAGTATTTAAATAACTTTAATTAAAAAATTGCAACTTTGGTATATGTGTTTAAACAAGTGTACGAGGTGAGACAATTAAAAAATATATACAGGGTGTCCCAGAACTCTCCTGCCGAACGGAAACCGCAGATATTAGATTAAATTACCTCAATCCTAAAATGCTTCATTAGGACGCTAGAGATCTTTGAAGTAGGCGCCTTTAAGTCATTTTTTCAGCATACTTCAAAAATGATAGCTTTGCATATTGATGAAGCTTCTAATGACCAATCGACCGCTGTAAATTTGATTTTCTATTGTAATCACAAGGGACTGAAATAGAGGGGGTCAACAGACATTTTCAATTATAATTTTTTAAATTTATGATGTCATATTTTAAAACTGTACGTTTTTTTTTAGAGAAAATGTAATTTGAACTTTACGTGCTTCCTGAAATTAATAAATTCATTGATTACAATACCTTATGAAGCATTTTCGGATTAAAGTAACTTAGATTAAAACTACAAGAGAGTTCTGGGTCACTCTGTACCTACATATGGAATTAAATGGTTACACCTCGTAAATTTAAGTTTATAGAAATACGCATACTACAAAATTAGATTAAAAATCGTCCATTTCACAAAATATACACACAGAAAAAATGCCAAATTTATATCAATCATGCCCAGCGGGTATCTCAGGGTCTTAGACTTACTACTTTAAAAACTCAGTTTTTCATTTTTAAAGTATATCTAACAGGCTGTGACTATAGAATGTCAACTAAACTATCTTGTACCTATACCATCTACCTCCATAATTAACTAATTTTAAATATTCTATTTATAGCATAAAGTGTTCCATTTTTTTTTTGTTATTTATTCTGCCGCCCAGTGTCCACTAGCGTTTTTTTAATTACAATTACAAATTTAAAGGAAATGCCATTATTTGAACTTTTTTCGAATGCGTTATCCAACTCGGTTGTAAATTATTGTTTTTCATTACAATTGTTTTGCAAGTTAAAATAGTTTATAAGCAGTAAGTGTGCATATTGTATATATACAATGTGTCTGTATTTTTTATGCCATGAGAAATTGTCAGAGCAGATGTTTTTATTATTTGATATAAAGAAAGGATAAAAACAATACTTTCCTACATTATAAAGACGAACAACTGCAGGCGACCTGTATATTCTTGATAAGACAGACACAATTTATATATATACAAAATAAATATGATTGGGTCAAATTTTTGAAGTAGAACTTTATTTTTAGTAATTATATGAAGTAAAAAATCGAGCAATTTAATCAAATTTTATACAGTTTAAGGGAAACGAGAATACCGATTGTGTTGAAAAAAGCAGTATTCTGTTTTGTAGCCTTAGTAATCCACTTACCAGTTCTATGTTTAACAATTTGACCTGTCAATATTGATATACAGAATGGCCAACAGATTGATAATTGTTTAATATCCCGGGTAAAATATTTTTACGTTGACACGTTCCTAATCTGGTTGTAAATGTGATACCAAAATGATAAAAACAAAAAGTAAATTTGAGGTATCTAGCGTCTTCTAGTCTCTTTCGTTTGTGAATAATTTCTACATTTTTTAATCTAGTGCAATTACTCTCCAGTTCGTGGCCCTTTTAACCGCCTCCCTCCCCCATTTTCAGGGCTACCTCTATTTATTCATCCTTCTAGGTTTCTCCTTTGTCTTCTGGGCATCTCAACCACTGAAACCTTAGAGCTTTAATTGGTGTTTTTTACTTCTTCATTACATTTACTACAATTTGGAGTGGAAACACCATATTAATCGTATGTAATTATTTTTAAATATTCTGTACCCTATATAAAAAGATTGGTGGGCAATTTTATATGTAAGAAACCTAGATAAAGTGGGTAAGTACAGAAGATGAATGAATGAAGAGAAAAGGATTATAACGAAGAGCCTTTAGTTGTTGACTCTTAAATGTTGATGGAATTAAACGCGGTTTTGTTTAAATTGATTGTTGATGCATTCCCCCTAGACGTGCTATTATTCCCGGTTATCATAAATATGGTATCATATAATCAAACAATCAAATTAAAGCGCCTCATGTTATTTTTACCGGTGTTATCTATATGAAAACATTGGCCATTTTGTGTATTAGTTCACTGAAACATTTTGAAATAGATTGGACAAATTTAAATAGAGGTGTGATGATAAAAAATCCGGTTATTCCGTAAATAAGTAGTGATAAGCACAATATTCGTAAATAGTTACTGCCATTTTACATCGAAGATTAAAAGTTTAGAGTTGAAATAAGTAACGTGAAATTGTC